CAAAATAACAAATATTAGGAGCACCTTTTAGGTCTGTTCAGTGACAGTGCAGGATTGTCCCCCCCTGGGCTTCTGAGAGTGTTTTGGTCATTTTGGGTTTCAGTTACAGGCACCAGGGATCTTCCAGCCCAGCATCCAGAGAGGGCAGATCCCTGGAAACAATCACTGCAGAGGGAACAGCGGGCACAGAGAGGGGACAAATGGGAGGGGACAGTGAGCGAGACACCAAAAATGTGCCTGGTCTCTGCTGGGCCCTTCCAAACATCACCCTGCAGGAAAGGTGGTTTGTGAGACAATGCTCTGGAATTCAGCAACAATTCCCTCACTTGTCCTCACCTTCTCTGGGACAGACCCTGAGTCATCCCCTTGTTGTGCAAATATTTAATTTCTTTAAACACGGCAACCAAACACTTCAGGAGTGATTGTTGTGTTGCAATCACTGTTTAACAGTGACATGAACTGAATCCTTACAAAATCAGTGTCAAAAAAGCCCGTATTTCATCAAGGGGGTGGTTTATAGCTGTCAGGTAAGTAAATGTTGACTCAAACAAATTAAAATTGGGTGGGAGGGGAGAAGTGGTGTCCCAGCATCCACCAGGATCTACCAGCAGGAATTTCATTGAAGCAGTGCTCGAGAGGCTTCGTTTTTGGGACCTGGAGCACTGGCCAAACATCTCTGGAGAGGCAGAACTGCTGCAAGAGCTGTCCAACAACCACCACCCCAGCTGAGCTCTCTGTGGCAGCCACAGAACACTCCAGCAGGCCCATTCTCCAACCAGCATTTCAGCTCGAATGGTTGCTTTAATGGCTGTTTGTTTTTAAAACAGGCCCGAGCATGTGCCCCAGATCCACTTGTTACCCTTAAACAAGGCAGGGGGGGTGACTGCAGTTTATTAATAGGTGTTATTTATTGCTCCTGTTTATTCTGGGTGATGGTATCTCTGGGTATGTGAGGGATTTGCTTGCTGCTGGATTTGTTTGAATTGTCCACAACAATTTCTCTGTTCCATATCAGTTCCAGAAGCAAAAGAAAACAATCCAAATAAGTTTGCAAAATGCTCTGTGTCTCTTTTTCATGCCAGAGTAACAGTGATAATCTGCAATTATTTACCCCCCCCTGTTTACAACACATGTCCTTTCACTTTCCCTGGGCTTAGGTCATTTCATAAATATTCTGATTTCTTAGCAAAACTTAATTTGGGGAAGTACAATGAAAGAGGATCCTGTAAATGCTCACGTGCTCGAGAGTTTCTGTGCTTCTCTGTTTCCCTGGATCCCCAAAGGGTTTCTTCAGCACAAAATGTTTGACACTGTATAAGAATTGATTTGATAGATTAAAGATATGGAAAATTTAATTAAATTCCTTGTGGCTTTGAACACCTGAGGGAAAGGGGGTACAATGGGACATTAAAGGTGACTCACACCATCAAACTTTTGGACTGGAGGAGCCTCCAAGCAACAAGAGCAGAAATCCTAATGGAGAGTCCACTGGAAAAGTGGGCACAGTTAAGGAGCTCTGGAACTTATTTGTGCCTTTTCAGTTTTACAGGATGTGGGCACACATTGTAAAACCAACATACAAATACACAAACTAATGGAAACAGCCCCAACCAACCTGCAGGTTTTTGGCCAGAAGGGGCAACCAGACCCTCCTGACAGACATAAATATTGTCCCTGACACGTCAAGTGTTTGGGGTGACCCAATTGTGGCCTCCCAGGACCTGAAGGAGCCAACAGGAAAAATGGAGAGAGACAATTTACAAGGCCCTGGAGTGACAGGACACAGGGAATGGCTTCCCACTGCCAGAGGGCAGGGTCAGATGGGATACTGGGAAGGAATGTGAGGGTGGGGAGGCCCTGGCACAGGTTGCCCAGAGAAGCTGTGGCTGCCCCTGGATCCCTGGAAGTGTCCAAGGCCAGGTTGGAGCAACCTGGGACAGTGGAAGGTGCCCCTGCCCATGGCAGGGGTGGAACTGGTTGAGCTTTAAGGTCCTTCCAACCCAAACCATTCTGGGATTCAGTGATCATTCCTGTTCTGACCCAAAATGCAGCATTTAAGCGATGGTTTTCATGTCCTTTCACTTTTCATTTCCTACTCTAACAGTTCTGGTCAAAACCAGAAGTGTAACAGGAGGCCAAGTGAAAGGCCTTGGTGGTAATTCCTGTCACAGAGATTATTTCTAGGCTTCAGCTGCTTTCTTCTTGTTTATCTTTTCCTACTTCCCTATGGAGCTATTACAAACTTCCCCATAGGCCAATCATATAATAAACAGGTTTTTAGAAAGCTTGTTGAAACATAAGAGAATTATTTTGGCTTTAACATGACTTGCCCTTTTGTAAAAAGATTGGGGTCTGTCTCTGCTGACACCGAACATAAATGTTTCCCTTAAAAAAAAAAAAAATCTGTCCATGATTTAAAAACAATCAGAAGCCAAATTACCCTGAAAAAAAATGAGCCACACTAAACCAACGCACATATTTTTGTGCCTACAGGCAAGGTCAGCCCAGCAATGCATTAGAAGATCAACTATCCTTGATTTATCCAGCAAAATATTTGGAAACTGGGTAAAAATAAGATCTTGGGACTAATTATGGAGACTAAATAAGCCACAATTATCGATGAGGATAAAATAAAGCCCTAAACAATTCAGTTAAAATCAAGTAACAGAGCTTGTTCTTAATTATAGCAAGATGGTGAAGATAAAAGTGGAAAAGTTGCACAACAAAATAAACTGAATTTTGTCCAAATTCATTGTATGACATTACAGTCATCTGGTTGTGATTATGAGCCAGCGAGGTCTGTTCTATCCAAAGGGTATAGAAATAGCCTTCAAATATGAAGCAAATTAGCAATAACTGGCCTCTAAACAAGCATTTGATGTATGAAAAGAGAAAATGCAAACCTCAGAATGCTTTGTGGAGCAGCTGCCTGAAACAACCCTCATTTCCATTTCCATTTCCAAAGGGTCCAAGTCAGCTGTGACACAAGTGTGGTGCAAACTTGGGATGCTTCCCGGAGTGTCCTGGTTTCTGAAGGGGAACAGAGCAGGGAAGAGTGAGAGAGGTTCAGGAACTGACACCAGTCCTCTCTGAGCCTGGACCAGGTTAACTGGGATGAGAGGGAAAAAATGCTGAAGAGCCTACATACACCAGATTGTAGCTAACTAGAATGTATGGAATCATGGAATGGTTTGGGCTGGAAGGACCTTAAAGCCCAACGAGTCTGTGGGCAGGGACACCTTCCACTAGCCCAGGTTGCTCCAAGCCCCATCCAACCTGGCCTTGGACACTCCCAGGGCTGGGGCAACCACAGCTTCTCTGGGGAACCTATGCCAGGGCCTCCCCACCCTCCCAGCCAAAAATTCCTTCCCAATATCCCATCTGACCCTGCCCTCTGGCAGTGGGAAGCCATTCCCCTTGCCCTGTCACTCCATCCCTTGTCAACAGTCTCTCTCCATGTTTCTTGTAGCCCCTTCAGGCCCTTAGCTCACCCTGAAGCTTCTCTTCTCCAGACTGGACAATTCCAACTCTCCCAGCCTTTCCTCACAGCAGAGCTGCTCCAGCCCTCTGATCAACTTGGTGTCACCTCTGGACTCCTCCAACAGGTCGGATCACTCACTTCAGCTCCTTTTGTTCAGATCTTACACACTGTAGAGCTTCATTTTCCTGGCACCCAAGAGCCTGAACCAGCCTACCCTGAGGCCTGGCTGCTGGAGGATGCACTCCCAGCTTTCAAGGGTCAAAAAAACACAGGGCTTAAAAAAAGTACCTTTTCTAAACGTTGTGGAGGCGCAAAAGCTGTGCTTGTCCATGTTTACAAACTATTCTTGTCCGTGTTTACAAACATCGCCCCGGACCTGTTCAGCATTTGAGCTTTCGTTTTCCCCGGGTCAAATTGTTTTGTAAATCCAGAGTCACGTTGGATCAACAGCAAATTACAGCAGCATAATCCCTGCAGAAATGTTAGGAAACTGCCCCGGGATTGTCCCCGCTTTGTGACGCGGGTTCTGTGCCCCTGTCACCCCGACCCTGGGCTATCACAGCCCCTTTGTTGCCCTCGGGAGGAAGGAAAGAGCCCTATCACTGCCCGCGGGGCTGACCCAGAAAGCAGGAAAAGGAGGGGAACCCGAGGGAAAGGGAAGGGCACCGAGAGTCACGGATGGGGTCGGCACCGCAGGGCTCAGCTCTGAGCCTCCGGGGGCTTGCAGGCTTTTCCAGCGGGAGAGACAAAGCTGGATTTACAAGATTTCACCTCTTTTTAAGCTCTTACCTCTCACTTGAGCCTCTGAACTCCCCCAGAACCTAAAGCAGCCGAGCTGTGAGTGTGAAGCCCGTGTGCAGGGTGGGTTTAACTCCTTCCCTGGGGCAGCTGCAGCTCAATGAGCACAGGGATGGGAGCGGGAGGGGCTGGACCCTCTCAGCCCTCACCTCCTGCCACCCCACCCTCCTCACATCCTGCACCGAAGCCTTTCTCACCGCTGATCCTGCTCCACCTCCCTGCTTCCCTTCCATGGACCTGCACTTCCCCTGCTCCCAGGAAATCCTCGGGGCTCATCCCGCATCCAGGGTGTGCTGCGAGGGCACGAAGGGAACATGGGGAAACAATCGGTACTGCCCAAACCCCTCCCGTGTCAGCTGAGGAGAATCGCTCACCCTTACGGATTTCATTTTAAAGGGAATATCAGAGCTGTCATCACAGCGAGGGTAAATGAGGAAAGGCCGGATCTCGGCTCCTTCCAGCCAAACAGAAAATATCAGAGACACACATGGCAAGTGTCCCAATAAGGAAAAAATTAGCCTGGTCCCTCTCCTAAATTTTACACCAGGCAGGGACACCTTCCACTAGTCCAGGTTGCTCCAACCCCAATCCAGCCTGTCCTATGTGATACAGGGATGTGAAGATACCAACTCTTAATTACAGACTTTATTTCAGGAAGAAAAATCATGATCTCAAACAAAATTAGGACCGTTTATTGAGCTGCGTGGCACAGAAAACAGCGTTATAAAGAATGATATTATACCTTTATTGTGATAGTTGTAATAATGTAAAAATTGTAGTAATTTCCCTCACTGAGGGAAGCCTCAGAAATACTGAATTACAAGTTCTATGAAAAAGCATTACAGTAATAAAAAGAGACTTAAAGCTCCACAGGAGACAGTTTAAGTCTTTAACCAGAGTTCTGATTCACTTCTCTGAGGTCCCAGCCCAGAAATATTCCCCAATACACGTCCAGAACCATAAAAATAGACTCCCAGCTGCACATGCAAATACCCATTTGCTTGGATGGTAACAGAGTAGATCATTAAAACCCAGCATTTTTAACAAAGAAAGGGTTGCAGCCTTTTACATTTTACCACATTCAGTGTTTCCAAGAGATGCTTCCAGGAGCAGCAAGGCAAGAAGCCCACTTGTATCCCAAAAACCATCTTAAGGGAATCTGGCCGCTGTCTCAGTTCATTTTCTTCCCGTTACAAGAGATATGACCACACTGGTTCCAAAAAGCTTCACTCAGTGAGATTTATTTCAGGGAGGAATGCTTCCCTCTGCTTCTTGTGCACAGTTTTTGGAATATTTCAGCTGTGTCCCAGGGAAAGCACGTCTGGGTCTGAAGGAGCCTCTGTAATTTTGGGAAGTGTTGAGTTGTTGTAACGCTGAGAAGGAGCTAAGTGTGTTTTTCCACATAATTACCTATGTTTGTTCTGATCTGTGTCCTTATAGTGGCACATCTGTCTGGGAGCAGCAGTTTCTCCTCACACAGACGTTGCTCTTGGCTGAGGGGTTGTCTGAGGACCCCCAGCCCCCCTCAGAAAACCTGGACTGCCCTCAGAACCCCCAGTGCCCCTCAAGCCACTCAGCTCCCCTCAGACAACCCCCAGCCACTCTCAAGTCTCCCTTGTATCCCCCTCAGACTTCCCTGGTCCCCCTCAAGCCCTGGCATCCCTCAAATTCCCGTCTCCCCCCAACACCTATGGTCCCCCTCCCTGGCACCCCTCGAGTCCCCCAGCTCCCCTCAGAACCTCCATTCCCCTCAAATGCTCTTGGCTTCCTTCAGTACTCTGGCACCCCTCAAACCCACTGACTCCCCTCAGAACCCTCAGTCCCCCTCAAATCCCCCTGGCTCCCCTCAGTACCCCTGGTCCCACTCAGGTCCCCCTGGCTCCCCTCAGCACCCTGGCACCCCTCAAGTCCTGGCTCCTCTCAGACAATCCCGAGCCCTTCTCAGGTCCTCTCCGTCTCCCCTCAGAACCCTCACCCCCTCTCTACGTGCCCCTCGCACCCCTCATCTCCCCTCAGCACCCTGGCACCCCTCAAGTCCTGACTCCTCTCCAGCCCCCCGTGGCTGCCCTCAGATCATCCCCAGCCCCTCTCAAGTCCCCTCCACCTCCCCTCAGAAACTCCGGTCTCTCTTGGGCACTCCTGAAGTCCTGGCTCCCCTCCAGCCCCCCTGCAGCCGCCCTGGTTCCCTCAGCACCCTCCCCTTCCATCTGCCCCGTCCCCCCGGCAGGTGGGAGGGCTGAGGGAAGGGGAGTAGCCCAGGGACAGGACTCTGCCCGCTCTGACAGCGGGCGGGGACGGGCCCCCCGCTATTAGTACAGGACCTCCGCGGGGCCGCCCCAGTACCTCCCGCACCATGCCCGGGCTCCGCACCGCGCCCGGGCCGCCCGCCTTCCTCCTCCTCCTCCTCCTCCTGCTGCTGCTCCCCGCTCCCGTCCCCGCGGACCCCGGCGCCGGGTGGCAACTGAACCCCGGGAGCCGCCGGGCCGCGGCGGCAGCGAGGGTGGCCCTGCAGTACCGCAACTTCAAGGCGGGATCGCCCGGGGGGCTGCGGGCGCTGGGGCAGGTCCGCAAGGCCACCGTGAAGGTACGGGGGGAGCGGGGGCGGTGCGGGGCCGGGAGGGCGCGGGGCTTAGAGCGACGCCGGGGAAAGTGCAGTGAACAGCAATTATTATGTTGTTGTTATTGTATATAGCTGCAATTAGCAGTAATTATTATATTAATTGTTATATATAACTGAGGTTTGCGCGGTCCCGCGCTGGGCACCGGGGGTGCCCTCCCGCCCCTCTCAGGGGCCGCTGTCCCGCTGCCCCTCCCTCAGGGACACCCGGGTCCCCTCAGGGCACCGCTGTCCTCCCACCCCTTCCTCAGGTGGCTCAGGGCACCTGGGTCACCTCAGGGACCATTATCCCAACTCCCGTTCCTCAGGGACACCTGAGTCCCCTCCAGGACCACTGTCCCACCATCCCTTCCTCAGGGGCACCCAGGTCCCGTCAGGGGCTGCTGTCCCACCGCCCCTTCCTCAGACCAAGAACTTCATCTAAAGGCGATGCAGTTCCCATCAGAAAAACACAGCTTTATCTTCCAAACAGCACGGCAAATTGAGGTGACAGAGAGGGGCAGGAGTCCCCGAGAGAGGAGCAGCTGCAGGGGCAGAGCCTTCCCGTCATGGATCCTGCCAGGGATGCTCGGGGTGGTGCTCGGGGTACGCGGACCCTGCTCCCCAAAGGATGAGCCCCGTGCTGTGCAGCCCTTCTCCTCCTCCAGCTTTGGGGTTTTTTTTACAGCTCGATCGGTTTCTGAAGGCAAGAAATCAGGCAAAAGCTTCTGGGGAATGTTTGTCCCGGGCTGTAGATCCTGGAAGGAAAGCATTGCCTTTCTGGAGAGCCGAGGGGATGAGATTTAAACCCAGCCCTGGGATCCTGCTGCTGGGCAGCTCTCTGAGCAAGGGCTGCTTGGTTTGGATTCCAAAGGGCCAAATGCAGCACTGGATTCCACTGGATCCTTTCCCTGGCTCTGGAGACCTTACAACACTTGTCCTTCAGCATCTGCACGGTGTGTGCAATCCAGGCCCTCTCTCCTAAAACTGGGGATGTCAAATCTTCCCTTTCAAGAAAGAAGTTCTGAGCCAGCCTAAAAAGTTTAGGATGTGCTGTTGCAGTCCTGATCCTGAATCCTTCCCATAAATCCCACTTGGCAGTGGCTCCAAAACAGTTTGAAGCCTGACTTGCACGTGATATTTAACAGGTCAAAATAATTTCCAATTAAATCTGACAAAATGCAAAATACTGTGAAAAAAATCAGACTTTGGTGTAATGCAAGGCTGAAAGACAGTGTTAGCCCTGCCTGGGAATTCTGCTATGGATTCATCTGGAATCATACCCTTTAGGTAACTCTGTTCTCATCATCATTCCCAAATGTGCCATTAAATATAACTTATTAGGTGCTGAGTATGAACTTGCTCGTGGGACATTCAGTTTTCCTATGAAATTGCTGCAGACACCCCTGACAGGAACCTCCTGTGCTGTTTTATACTTCTTTCCAAACGGACAAATGCTCCTTCTGTATTTCCTGGGCAGTTTGCATATGGATATATGGATATATTTCCATATATAAATACTTGTGCCTGGCTGAAGAACAAGCTGGCAGCACTGCAATTCCCTAGGAAAGAGACTATCAGCAGGAAGAGGTTGGTGCAGATCCCCTTCCCAGCTGAATATTTGTGAATATTTGTGAACTGGTTTGGGTTGGGGGGAGGGAAAGGGATTTTCCTCCCACTCAGCCACCTGACTCCTAATACAGGAAGGAGAATAGTTTGTTATAGAGAAGTGAAATTCCTCCTTATTTCCTCCCAGCTCTGGATGAGGAGCTCACTGTAACCACTCTCTGCAGTTTAATTCCCCTTTTTCTTTGCACACGCTGTGAAAACAAGAGGAGAAAAGTGCTAAACGTGGTCACTTCCTTCTTTTCTGTCCTCCACTGGAAAAAAATGACAAGAATTTCCTGGAAGGAATGTGCTGTATTAGGTGAAGGCAGGAGACAGAAATGTTGGGGTTTGGGGGTTTTCGGTTTGTCTGGGTTTTAGTGATTTTTTTAAACAAGGCAAATTTCCTATTGGTTACTATATCAGTGGATCCCATAAAACCAGGATGATTTTATCATGGAATTCAATAATGAGCACTGTAATTTAATCCTGACATTATTAGCCCACTAGCTGGTGAAACTGGTAATTGGAAACAGGACTGGAGACCGTCCCCAGCCTGGAAAGGGTCTTTCATGTTCAGGTAAAATGAGACTTCAGGGCTTTTCTCTCCTGTCAACAACTAGCAGAGAGATGCCAAACATGGAATAATCCCTGCCTTGCTGGCTGCTCTTTGTTTGGTCCCTTCCTTGTTTCTCGAGTGAAGATCCTCTAGGAAACAGCAGCTCGTGGAATTGTTGAAACAGCTGCACTTTAAAATACACTTTAGATAAGAAAAGTCTTAGTTTGTGCCAGCTGAAGATCCCAGAAGTCAAAGAGGGAAGCTTTCAAAACACTGATGTAGCATTTCCCATCCCAAGCTGTCCTGGAAATCAGAACTTAGGAGGAGGTGAAGGGTGAAGGTAAAGCCAGGTAATCTTGTGGCTAAACTGCAGCACTGGATTAAACTGGACTAGAAAATCCCATTTTACAGGTGGATATTTCTCTTCACAACCTCACCTGGACACAGAACAGTGCAATACCACAACTCTGGTTTTAATATTAGAAGTCAATTAAAAAATTCCTTATTTTCTTACTTCCAACAGTGAGAGCCCCCTGTTAGGGTGGGAAAGGCAGGACCTGTGGCAGGGACAGCTCGCCCTCCTCTCTCTGCAGTCCCAGCTTTTCCTGCTTAAAAAAACTGGCTAAAAACTGGATCCAGGGGGAAAATGCTGGTGGGAAACACAGAGGAGGAGAGATGGAAACCTGCAGTTTGGGGTGAGAGAGGGATCCCCCCTTCCTGTGCCAGTGGGGAGTGAGAGCAGTGATTGTAAACTGATTGTAAACTGATTGTAAAATGACTCCCTCCTTTGGGACCTGCTCTGGAATTGCTGCTTTGGCCTCCATGGCACTAAAAATCCGTCAGGAAAAGCTGCAAGAATTCTGAGCCTGGAAATTAAACAATCCTGTGACCCAGATATTCAGTGGAAAAATGAATTACTCACTTGTTTTCTTCTCTTTTGGACACTTTTATCTTTGGCTGCTTTCAGATATCCCTGGGCTCTGAGGAGCTCACACTCTGGGAGGGTTTACAGATGATAGTGGGAAATAATAATGGAAAGAAAAGTGATGTTTTTCTTCGAACCTACAAATACTTTCATAAATGTACAATTATTTCCTGCCAAATGGACCTTCTCCCTCCTCCCTGGGAGGCTCAAAGAAGCCCCCCCAGCCTGAATCTGTATTTTAGCTGTGGGGCACCTCTTGAAAGCTTTCTAGGTAGTAATAGTACAGAAGTAGTAGTAATACCTACTAGTAGTACTGTGGTGGAGTTGTTGCAAATGAAGGGAGAAAATCTGCTTCAAAAACATCTCCTTCAAAAATATCTCCTTCCAAAGCACAGAATTCTCTATTCAAGTCCTGACCCTTTCAGGTTCTCTCATGTGCAGTGATGACCCAAAGGGAATAAGCCTGGCTCACTGTGCTTCAAAATAGCCAAATTTGATCAAATTAGGAATGTTATAAACCCCTGCAATAACAGCTCTGGGGTACCTTTACAATAATCAGAAAGTTAGCCTTAACTGCAGTGATTATTGTGAGAGTTTAGACCCTTCTTCCTTATCATTTCATTTGATTACTGATTCTTTGGCACTTCAGAAAGTCAGTTTTTCCCATTCTGCTACTCTGAGTGACCCCTCATGGCACATTCTCTGCCAATTTGAGGACAATATTTCGGGTAACACACAGAAAGGGGCAGGAGGAAGAGGAGAATGAGGAGGAACAGAAGAAAGGAATAAAAAAATCTGAGTTCATTCTGTTTCCTCCACCCTCTTCCCAGTGGGATGTGGCTCCAGCTCCACACTGGACTCACCCTAAACTTTCAGGAGGGGGTTTTATAAAATAGAACAAGTGATTAAAGCAGTTTGTCCTCTTACCTGCAGTTTACAACTCTGTGCAGGTACTCCAGGCAGGCGGGTGTGGGGCTTTCCTGACCTTATGGCATCAATAACTTCCTGGGAGAAACCGGGAAGGGAACAGGAGGGCTCAAGGTTAGAGAAACACAACCCCACGTTTGCTTGGGCTCCTCATCTGCAAACTGCTGCAAACAGCCACAGTTCCCCTCCTGCTCCTCTGAAGAGCATTGTGTTCAAAACCCGAGCAAGGGGAACAAATGAGTGCCCTTACACTCAAAAATACAGATATTTCAGGGCTCAGTCTAAAAGTTGGCAGGAAAATAAAAGACTGACCACGAAATAAAGAGCAGATGATGCCAAGACTTGTTATTGGGCTCTGCTCTTGCACAACTGGATGAGGTAATCCCAGGGAAATGAGTGGGTTTTATGGCCAATATTAAAAGACAGTTTCTCTTTCAGCCTGCTTGGAGCTGATTCAGAAGATCCCACACTAGAAGGCCCATTTGTTAACTGAAATCCTCGAGTTAAAAACCCCCAAATCCAAGAAAATTACACATTTCAGAGGTTTGCATTTCTAAGGCTTTTCAGGTGTTTTGTCCTCCTGGCTGCTTCCCATCAGCAAGGAGTTATCTTTTGCTTTTCCTTACCAAGCAGAATCCTGGATGATTGAACAGGATCCTTCAGGACTGGTGTTTTCAGGGCAAACCAGAGCAGACAGACCAGAATTTGTGGGGTGAAACCAGTTTCTTTCCCATCACCAATGACCAAAATCTTAGATATTAAATGAGCCTGTGTAACTCCTGTTCAGCTGTGACTCAGCAGGGTTGGATTCATTTATATATGATAGTCAGTGCAAAAATACCTCCTTGGACACTGAACACTCTCTAGTATGTTAGTATTTATGAAGTTACTCTGGAACAATCTGGCCCAGGAAGGACTTTGAGCTGGGTTTTCCCTCTTGCCTCTCAGTGAGGAAAGGCTTTCAAACATCCCTTGGTGTGCAGGTTATTTATGGTTGTTTCCCCTCCTCACTGCTTGTCCCAGCACATAAATAAGGCTTTAGTTCCACTGATGGCTGAACCTTTTCTCTTCCAGAACATCCCAGACTTTGGGCACAAGTATTACCTGCAGTTCAGCACAGAAGACTACAGGACTGGGGTGAGTTTGGGGTCCTCTGTGTTCCCTCTGACCATGGGCATGGAGTGAAGTTCAGCAGCTCCAAAACAGGGACATTTATGAGCTCAGGAAACGGATCTTTCCCAATGGAAAGACCTTCGTGCTCCTCCCTGCCTGTCTGGCAGGGGCTTTGCCCCAGGGATCACCTGAGAGATCCTCAGCCCTCACTCCTGAAGGATTTTAAGTCACCTCAGGCAACCAAGAGCCTGAGTGAAGCTTCCCAGTGGCCCAAGCTCAGTGACAGTGTGACAGCCTGGTCCTGGGGACATTATCCCTCTGTGCTCCTTATCCCACTGTGCTCATTATCCCACTGCAGCTCCTGCTGCTGTCCACACCCCAGAAAGGGAATAATGAGCTGACAGCTGCATGTTCTTCTCAATTCCAACCCCCTCCACTCTCCCTGTCACACTTGTCACCAGCTATTTTCCTGCCCTCTTCCTTCACACACAGTTTGTGGAATTCAGACTATTCTCAGAACTTAATATGAAGCTTTAGATTATTTTCGTTTCAAGGCTGAAGTATAATACAGTGAAAGTCCCTGTTATCAATTAATGTTATTTCTTAATACCCTCAAACACATTTCCAAGATGACTTAGTGCATTAATCAAAAACTTCTGTTAAGTCCCTTCAGCCTCGTGGTTTTAAACCATTTACTTTTCTGGGGGAAAAAAATTTATATCCTTCTGAAGACTTTCCTGACCCTTGACCAGCTTCACCCAAAGAATGAGTTGCTGGTAACTAAAATCTTGATCAAAGGTAAGAGTTTTAAAATCTCCCTTGACAGGAAAACGCCGGGAGCTGCCTGGCCACGGTGTTGTATCCAAGGAAAAAGTCTCCTCCTGTTGTCAGCATCAAGTGCTCACACACCAAAGACCAGAATGAAATCCAGGAAGAGGACAACAGACTCTACCAAAGAATCAGGCAGCAGACCAAACCAATAACTGGGAGCAATATTCCAGGTATATTCCTCCAGCCAGTCAGCTGTATTTCATTTATCTCCCAGGGCACTGTGAAAAACACAAGCAAACACATGCACTGCAAGGAGACACGTTATTTACAGCAGCACCCTGAAACCACAGTGCTGTCAAAACATTCCCCCTTCCAGGGATCCTCTGGGAGAACAAAACCCCTTTGCATTTAACACTGGCATCAGCACCACCTTCTGAAGGTGGTTTGGGTTTAAAAGCACCATTTTAAATTCGAGTAAATGCAGAATGCCCTCCAGGAATAACAAGAGCCCCAAGCCACAACCTCCCCAGCTGTGGCTGGAAATTCACTGGGCACGACTAACAGAACTTTTCCATCCTGGAAAAATTCCATCTTTTCCTCCCAGCTAGGTAAAGATTTCCATTACCCTGGATTTTGGGGTTCTCACCCCACTGTGGGACCCCGTGAATGTTGTCTTTTGGCAATGTCAGTCCTGCCACACTTTCCTACTTTCCTGGAATGCAGCTTTAGCATCGTTCTCCTCCCTTTTCCCTGTGACACGTCCGAGGGAAGAGTCTCATCCCAGGACCAGCCTGTGCCAGGCCAAAGTGCTCTGTGGTTCATCATTTTTCAGCTGAGCAGCCAGAATTGATATTGTTTGTGTTTCTGTGTGCCCTGCAGACAGCTATGGCAACATTGAGCCTGCCCTGGAGCCAGCCTGGGCTCTGGCTGTCGCTGGCAGCAGCTCCATCATGTGGGAAAAGTCCACAGAGGACGTGGGATACTTCCTGGCACAAGTGAAGTCGGTGAAGCAGTGGGTGAGTGGAGCAGGGAGCAGAACCCCCCAGCTCTCACTGCTGCCGTGGGTGTGATCCCCCAAACCCCAGGGCCTCCCCTTCTCCAGCATCTCCACCTCTGGACAAGCACTTTGTCCAGGTGTCGGTGGCAAAACTTTACTCATTTGGACAAAATTTGGCTTTCCTTGTTGCATGAGTGGCTTCTGCAGGTCCTGCAGTTCCTCAGCCCCACACCAGGTCACTCCCACACTTTGTGAGGCTCACAGGCACCAGCAGGCTCAGACCTGGCACGAACACCTGCCTGGGGAGCAGGTCTGACCCCCCAGCACATCAAACAGCAGCTCCCAAAGCTCTGTGACCCCCAAAACACCTGCCTGGGGAACAGATCTGACCCCCCAGCACATCAAACAGCAGCTCCCAAAGCTCTGTGTCCCTGTGATCCACGGGCAGGACCCAGTTTTTGCTCCATTCAGCACAAGATTTCTCTGAAGCAGAGATTAACAGACAATATTCTCAAATCCATCAGAGGGGTAAATTCAATTAATTAGCACCTGGGCCAGCCTGGTTTCATGGCAGAGAGTGGGGCTGCAGAGCCACACAGCAGCCATTGCCTTCAAGAATTCCATGCAGGAAGTGCTCCTAATTCCCTGTCTTTCCATCATCAAAACCCACCTCACTCCAGCCAGCAACCACAGTCCCTAAGCAAGCTCAGTGCAGCCAACTAAATCAAAGCAGGAATTAAACTTCAACAATATAAACTTGTGTTCCTGATAATCCTTCTCTTTTTTTCCATACCCAGATGAGGAAAGATGATTTTATTGAGTTTGACTACACTGTCCTGCTCCACGAAATGCCAACACAGGTAAGAAACAGGGGTGCAATCCCTCCTGTCCCCAGGAGATGGGCAGTACAAAGGTGATGAGTACACACCCATAAAATCAGTATTTCTCTATAAAAGAGGTGTTTTTCAATCCCTCCTGCAGGAGATGATTTCCTGCCACATGCGCCTCACGTGGCTCCCCGGGCGGCCTCTGAAAGTGAAACACTTCTGTGCCTCCCAGAGCCACGAGCTGAAGGAGGGATCTGGGCTGGGATCGGGATCAGCTGCTGGGCTCTCAGAGGAAAGGGAGGCCAACTTCTGAGGGAGAGTGTCAGAATCCCTGGATTCAGGGAGAAAATCCTCGTGCTACCAGAGCTGGAGCCGGCATCGGGTTTCCCCACAAGTCAGTGATTGGGATGCTTTCACTACTCTGTTCTGTGCCAAAATTATTTCCTGTCACTTCTCAAACTGCAAGACTCAACTTCTAGAGAGTTCTGCCTAAAGCCTTTGCTACTGCACATATACACAGATGAACATACACAGGTTGATTTTATGTCACTAATTAACAGTTACGTAGAGTTTGTAAACAAAGTTAATATATTTGGGTAAAAAAATCTCCAGGAAAGTATTAATCTGTCACTAAGAAATATCTGCCTACTGATTTTTTGGGTCATTTTTCGGGATGGAATCATGCTGGTTTTCAACTCACCTCTCCAATAAACCAAATACCATCAACTCAGGGGCGAGGCTGGATTTTCTTTCACTGTGCTGCTCTTGGACCCCAAATTTCCACCTTCTCTGTAAACTCTAAAACCAAAACAGACCTGCAGAGCCAGGAAGGCTCCAGATGGGTGAATTCCCACATTTGGGATGGGCAGGACACCCCTCAAACAGCTCTTCTTGGTTCCTGCCCTGTCCTGTTCCCATCCTGAACACCACGAAGTCGTGGGTTTGTCCTTTGCCTCCAAATCCAGTTGGGTTCCCAGAAGATCCACCACCATCCCACCTCTGCTCTCTGAGGTCGTGCCAAACTGTCTCAAATTCACCTTTTTTCTCCCCATTTGCCAGATTTCTGCCAGGATAGACGAAATCCTTACCAAGAACACCCCATTCCTGAGGGAAACAGGTGCTGGGGTGGCTGTTCTCTGCAGTTTGTGGTGGTTTTCATTATCCTGGATCTGTAATCAGTAACAATGATTCCAGGATTTCACATGACAGTTTTCCCTGCATGTATTTAAGCTGGGTGATGTCAACCCCCCGAATTCCAGTGTTTTACACACACAGATTGTTAAACCTGATTTCCTGACTGAAGCTTTTTCTCTCAGCACACACCAGGCACCACAATAAATTTAGGGAATGACATCCCACGTCCTCCTGGTGTTTTCTTCTGTGCTGGCAGAACATTTCTCCTCATCAAACGTATGAAATCAGAGCTGAGAATTTCAACATTTCTTAAAGAAGCTGGTGATTAAAATAGTTTTTGAAACATAAACAAGAAAATGGGATGGATTTTGCACTTTGGGGCTCTACTTTAGTGTCCTTACCTTGTTTTTGCCACTGCTCTGCAGGCCCAGACCAGAGGATTGGGCACTTCCAAGTCACCAGGTCAGTGTAACTCCCAACTACTCCACAGGAACCTCTGGAGAAGTAGCAAAGCTGTTGCAATTCTAAGGCAGCTGCTTTTAGGCCAAGACTTCAGCCTAAAACCTAAAATCATACAGCAAAATTCTTGGGGTTTTGGTTTTTCCCAGATTTGTGGAGCACCAGCACATCTGGCAGCAGCCACGAGCCAGGAATTCACATCACAGTGGCCTGAGCAGAGCAGGAAAACCATAAACATAAATAAAATCCCAACCACCCCGTTCCTTTCCTGTTTCCACACTGCTTTCAAAAGACAACCCTGAATTTTGGTAAAAGGTTGTTCAAGAAAATCTCCCAATGTCTGAGGACCTGCAGGGCTTTTCTGGAAATCAATTCCAGCTGAGCAGTTGACAACAACAAAGCTGTGGATGGGGGGGAATCGGGGATTTGTCCCAAAGCAACACTCATGGATACAGCACATGGATACAGCACATGGATACACCACCCCAGCCTGAGCCCTGTTAGCACCTCCAGGTGCTCACAAACCTGTTCCCAAGGTCAAAATAAGTCCTTTTCCCTGTCCTCCCGTGAGGGCTGTGGAGAAGCCTGGCTGCTGCACTCCTGGCTGTGCCTGGGAATCATCAGCCCCAGTCCTGTGCCAGGAATGTCGCTGGGTTTGGACTGGAACTTCATCCCCGTTTACTGGAAGTCTGTTAAGCTGAGGAGGTCAGGAAGGGAGAGAGACACTTCAACATGGACCTTCTGGGAGTCATTACAAAATACAGAATTATGGGAATATCTCCTCCTTCCCAAGGAACTCCAGGGTCCTTGTTTTGTCTCTGCAATGAGTCAGCAAGATTTCAGTCAACTGATTCCTGCGCTGAGCATCGGCTGGACACGCCCTTGGGATTGGGAGATTCTGGGAAGACAGAGCTCTGGTTTGGTTTTCTAACAGAGAGCCAAAGTCAAGCCCACACAGTGAATCCACATCACAAGCCCATACAGGAATTCCAGGTTGTTCCCAGCTCTGGGAAGAGTTAACTCCTACCAACACCCTTCTCAACTCTCTTGTGCCACCCGTGAAAAGCAGATGTGGTGCCAGGGCAGTGGCACTGAGCGATGGCTTTGCCCAGTGGGTGGAGACTTTGGAGGATCCTGTGCCATTTCTGGAGGATTTGGAGGGAAAAGTGGCATTTTTCCCTGGAGGGAAGCTGGGAGCACCCTGTGAGATGTGCTCAGTGTGGGCTGACAACTCACTCCCTGTGCCTGTCCAGCAGCTCCTACCCGACTCTGCTGCCTCAACATTTTTAAACTTCCCAAACCTAATTACACAATAATGATGTATCAAAGTAAAAAATACAATTATTTTAATAGAACTTAATTAAGACGAATTTCAAGACCAATTATCAGCCGTGTTTTAACATCTATTTGGTTAAGGGCAGCATTTACACGTGAACAATTCCGCTGTGATCCTCCAGTGGCTCCTGAGAATTCCACAGAGGAAGGGTATGATGACAAAATTCCAAGTCCAAATCCCACTGCAGCCTGCCTTCCCCAGCCAGCCTTGCCTGCTTCCACGGCTTGGAAAACTGAGCTGTTGGAGGAGACTGGGAAAAACTGTTCAAAGGACTCCAGAGGAGCCAGATCAGCTCTTGGCTTTGCCCTTTTTGGCAGGAAGTCGCCCCGTTGCTTCCAGGTATTTGTTGATTATTTCTTCCTGAGTGCTGGGTGAACACGGGTGGTATCTGGAGTATTCCATGGTATATTCCCCCTTTCCCTGTAAAATTGGGAAAAGAAAGTCCAGGTGAGGATGGGACACGTGTAACAGCGCTGAGCAGAAGGTCACACCCAAGAATCCTTCACAATCCCACACAAACAAAACCCAAAGCATGGAAGAATTTTTCGAGCAGGAATGACCCAGCTCTGGGTTTGCTTTTTATCTCCTTCCCTGCTGCAGGTGCTATGGATACAATGATGCAAAGTAGCCCAAATTTAGAGAAATAAACAAGTTTAAGCAAAAAGGACGTGGAGGACTCACCTCTGTGCAGGACCTCAGCTCGGTGGCATATCCAAACATATCGTTCAGTGGCACCTGAAATCCCAACACAGGCTGGTAAAAACAAAACACTTTTTCCATCAACTTTGAGTCACCACCTCATTAATCCCAATTCTGACACAAAGAGTCAGTGCTGCCTGTAAAAAGCTGGGATTGAATGATCTGGTGTTGTAAAGTACTTGTTATTTTAACTGATTTATACTTGCAATGTGTTTTCAGCAGGAAACCTGAAAAATCTGAGAGTCTGAATGCACCAGGAGCTGGAACATCCTGGATTCAGGGCTGTGTCATCCAGAGATCACGAGGTTTGAGATAACTCCAGACTGGAGCTCTGATTAAATTCCTCAGTTTAGGAAGCAGAAGGGATGCAGAGCAGCCCAAAGCCAAAGCTTTGCCGAGATGGATTTTCCCTCCCACCACCCAACAGGACATAAGAAAGGGAACATGGAAAACGAGTCAATCTGGCTCCAAGTTTATCCACAGAAACTAAGGAAAACAGTGATGGAGTCAAAAGGCAACAGGAGGAAAGGAAAAGCTGGGAACAGCACAGACCTCAGCATAGAGGGTGAAGTAGCCCTCTGCCCCGTCCTGCCCCGTGATGACCCCGTGGCGCCGGTTGATCCCAGCTATCACAGCTCCCTGGAATTCCGTGGGAGCCATCACCTCCACGGCCATGATGGGCTCGATGATTCGCACCGTGGCGTTTTCCATGGCTGGGAAAAACAGCGGGAGAAACAATCCAGCATCACAAGCCTGGGGTAAGTTCAGATACTGCCACGCACAGCAACAAACGGTTCTCGGTAATGCCAAGTGTTTCCTACGACAGCAAGGGAAAACAAGCAGCTCCATGGAATTCCAGCTCCCCAGCTTGTTATTCCTGACACCAGAATCACAGAGTCATTAAAGTTGGAAACGACCTGCAAAGTCATCAAATCCAACCTCTGACCCTAAACCATGTTGTGAAGTGCCATCTCCATTCATTTTTTGGGCACTTCCAGGGATTGTGACTCCACCAGTTCCCTGTTCCCTATTCGTTTCACCACTCCTCCAGTGAAGACATTTTTCCTAAAAAGGGCACAGTTTGACCAAATGTTCTCTTCCTACCCTGTAAGGATGGTGCTGCTGGTGTTTCTGTACTGGATTCCAGCAAAACAGGATCTCCTTCACAGAACCACAAGAACTGCTGTGCCTCCCTCAAAAATTCTATAAACTCTTACACTGTGCTCTACAAAAGTGGCCAAACTTTGGATGGATGGATGGATGGGTGGATGGGTGGATGGGTGGATGGGTGGGTGGGTGGGTGGGTGGATGGGTGGGTGGATGGATGGATGGGTGGATGGATGGATGGGTGGATACCCCAAATAACAAATGAACCTACAGAAATGAGGCTGTTAAATTCAGCCCCAGCAATAACAGCCAGGACACATCCAAGCAAGGAGCTCCTACCTTGTTTTAGGGCTCCTTCTCCTGCCCTGATGAAGGAGATCTCGTTGGAGTCCACCATGTGATGGGCACCATCCTCCAGGACGAACCTGATCCCGGAGATCTTGTGCCCGGACACCAGACCCTTCTCACAGGCATCTCGGAATCCCTGGAACAACAGCTCCGAGTCAGCACCAGGAATATGGAACCTCTGTGCTGTCAGTCTTTGGCACCTCAGTTGGATACTGATACTTTTTAAAAAAACTAAAAAAACCAAGGAACAAGGAAAACTGCCCTCAGGATTTGGCTTTCTAAGGGACTGCATGGCCAAAACCCCAAAGAATGCTCTGTGTGGAAAGAGCTCCTGCCTGGAGAACAAGATTCCTCTAAGGCTGCGTGTTTTTTTCAGGATTTTGCAGAAGTTTTCAAGTGTTGCATCATAGAATAACGAAGGAATTATTCTGGGTTATCATAGGAATTCCAAGATGATGGCAGGCTAATTAAAATAGTCTGTGATAAATCTTACAAAGAGACAGTCACAGAGATGAAAAAGGAAGTCAGAGATGAATTGGGAATTCAGGCAGGAAATGCAGCTTAACTGCAGCTTCCTACATAATTGGCCTCAGAGAAGTCACAGAAAAAGTCCCATATTTTGGGGTTAGAGATGAGAATTGTGGGGCCACAACCAAAAGCAGAAGGGCCAGTAAGAAGCAGACTGAGCAGGAGGCTTGTTGGACTGTGAGCAAGGAAAGGAGGCACTGCCAGGGAAACAGAGCCAGCACACACCACCAAAGCAAACACAGCAGCTTCTAAAGGCAGTGGAAAACCCAGGAATGTGAGATATGAAGTAAAACCACACAAATGGCTCTGTTTCCACCGAAGAAACGGGAAAAGCCTCCTTGTCTGTGGCAAGGCCAGCACAGCAAAAGTGGGTGATATGGCAAGAAAACACAAAAATCAGTATTTGCTGTAGCACACAAATGGTTTGTACCTTTTCCACAGCGGGCACGAATTGTTTGGGAATATTTGTGCCAACGGTTCTGTCTTCAAACTCCACTTTGGTGTAGTCCTCGGGATCCAGGGGCTCCAGCACCCCGATGACTTTGCCGTACTGGCCTGCTCCTCCTGTCTGCTTCTTGTGGGTGAATTCAAACCTGAAAACAAACAACACCCCAAACACATGAACCTGCTGCAACCCCAGGGGAAAATTCCCATTCTGCAGTTCATAGAACCCCAGCCTGCTTTGGGTCGGAAGGGAATGCAAAGGTTATGGAGTCCACCCCCTGCCATGTGCAGGGACACCTTCCACGGGCAGGGACACCTCCCACTAGCCCAGGTTGCTCCAACCTGGCCTTGGACACTTCCAGGGCTGGGGCAGCCACAGCTTCTTCTGGGCAACCTGTGCCTATTCCCCACAGGGAAGGATTTCTCCCCACTATCCCACCTAACCCTGTTCGCAGTTAAAACCTTCATTCCCTCCAGCCAGTCCGCGCTCCCTCGGCAGCACCAGCGCCGTCCCCGCCCGCTCCCCGGGGCGGGACCCGCCGCCCGCGGTCCCTCCCCGTGCCGGTGCCTTCCTGCGGGCGGAGGAAGCTGCGTGGCCGTGGAGCTGCCCCCGGCACAGTTCCCAGCGGGCCGGGCCGTGGCCATGGAGCTGCCCCCGGCACAGTTGGCATCCCGCCGTGCCGCCGCCGTGGCCGTGTCGTTCCTGCGGTACCGGCGGGGCGGCCCCGCGCGGGCGCTGCGGCTGCGGGAGCTGCGCCGGGCGCGCACCGAGGTGAGAGCGGCACCGGCAGCGGGGGGCGGCGATTAAACCCCCGAGAACTGCCCTCCAGGAGGGCGCCGGAGCTCGGGGACAGCTGCCCAGGGAGGGCGTGGAGTCTCCTCTCTGGAGACACCCCAATCCCACCGGAGTGTCCCGGTGCCACCCGCTCCAGCCAGGTCCCCTCCAACCCCAGCTATGCTGGGATTCTGTGTCACCGCGGCTCTGCCCACCCACGTTTGGGGGGCACGGAAGGATCGGTGTGTCCCGAACAGCCCGGGGGCTGGCAGCAGTCGGGCAGGCTGGGAAGGTGGAATACACCCTCTGCAGTTCCCACGATCGGGCCCGGGGAACCTCCCAAGGACACTCAGGAGGGAGGAGGGTGCTCGGCTGCCAGGACACACCTCGCTGCTCACCTGGGCTGGGTTACAGGGAAACCCATGAGAACAGGGCACAAACCCCCAAAACAGGGGCGCAGCAACCCCCCCCACTCCCTTCAGTCATTACAGCCAAAAACCTCCATGACATGATTCATAATGAACTTCATTTGAGGAGTCACTGAGCACTCCCACCTGAGTATTTAACCAGCAGCACATTGCTGGATGGAATCACATGGGGAGCTCCAAAATGTTAATTCAGGGGTATTCAGGGCTAGAAATGAGGGTGGGGAGGCCCTGGCACAGGCTGCCCAGAGAAGCTGTGGCTGCCCCATCCCTGGAAGTGTCCAAGGCCAGGTTGGAGCAACCTGGGATAGGGGAAGGTGTCCCTGCCCATGGCAGAGGTGGGACTGGATGAGTTTTAAATTCCCTCCCAATCCAAACCATTCCATGATTCTCTGATCTTGTCCACTATGCAAAGTCATTCAACACTTGACAAAATAAACATCCTTAATGTTTTTCCCTTTCTTAGGACATCAAGGATGTTGGGCACAAGTACTACCTGGAACTGGAGCTGGAAGATGTCCTGGACAAAGTGAGTTCAGGTTGATTTACTCAAACACTCTGAGGGCAGAGCTTGGCAGCACTGATGTGTCATAAACTCACCTGATGCTGCTGCTCTGGCTCAGGCCAGGGGACACACCAACTAATCATATTTGGAATCATGTTTCTGATTTTCTACCCTACAAGTCAGGCAAAAAAAGGCTAAATTTTACCAACAGGGAACCCACCATAAAAGCCCTGCCCATGTGGTACCTTCCACTCCAGCACCAGACAGTGCTGGAGGGATGACAAGGACATTTCAGTGTCACTCAGCTCCAAGTGAACACCACAAGGGACATTCTGCACCCCACCCACTGCCCTTCCCATCACTGCAGAAAGCAAATCACCTTTATGCATTCACAGATAAACCATGAATTTAACCTTGTCTTAAATTATCACAAATCTCTCTGGGCCAGACTCAGACTCAGAGAAAACAGCAAAAAAAAGACATGTTAGAAGTGCAAATTACCCACATTATACATGTACTTAATGAAATATTAATGCACATAATTAACTCTGTGACAGGACAGTACTGTTAACTGCACTGCTGAGGTTCTGTATCATCTGGGCAACAAAAACATTGCTCCAGATGTGCAGTTCACACTTGAAGGAGAACTAAAGAGCACAGAGGAAGCAGATCACTTGTTCTACACTCGAATCAGGAGCCTGGAAAAAGAGCTTGTGGCAGAGAACATTCCAGGTACAAGGATGGGGCTGGGGGAGAAGGATCAGGCCTCCCCCCTGCTCTGAACACGTGCTGCTTCCCTTTCTCTGTCTGGGGGTCTCTCAGTCACAGCTACTCAATTTATTCTGATTCCTGAAATCCAGAATTGAGGCCTGATTTGCATGTGGCTGTTCTGCAGAACCACCTGCCACTGTCACCTCCTCCTGCTCCCTCTGAGCTGTCCTTGGCACAGCACATCCCACACCCTGACTGCACAACGAGGGGCTGCTCTCTGACTTCAGAGCCTTGAAAACTTGATATGTCAGGGGAAAAAAGTGGAGAACGACACCCTGGAGGTGTCCAAGGCTAGGCTGGATGAGGCTTGGAGCAACCTTGGCTAGTGGAAGGTGAACTTTAAGGTCCCTTCCAGGCCAAACCACGCTGTGATTCCACAGGAGGAATCACTGCGGGGATGGAGCAGCTCTTCCAAGATCCTGTGGAAGGTTTTGTGACATGGAAGGGAGTGACTTTTTAGCACCAGGTGATGAAGTTCTGTTGCTGGCTCTTGTTTAACCCCCAGGAATTGTTTTGTTTCCCAGACAGCCGTGGCCACGTGCCCCCAGAGCTGGAGCCCCTCCACCTGCTCGCCTGGGTCGCCTCGGGGTACCTGGTGTGGCAGAATTCCACAGAAAACACCCAGCTCCAGCTGGCCCAAATCAAACATGTGAAGCAGGTGGTAAGTCTCCATCAGTCACAGAATTCCAGGGTGGATTGGGTGGGAAGGGACCTTAAAGCCCATCCAGTGCCACCCCCTGCCATGGGCAGGGACACCTTCCACCAGCCCAGGTTGCTCCAAGCCCCATCCAACCTGGCCTTGGGCACTCCAAGGGTGTTCTCCTCCACTTCTTTCCCCTGACATATATTCCAACCTGGCCTTGGCTCCCAATGCTCTGCAAGAAAAATAGTGTTTAGGAGCTGAGCAGGGACTAGAGCAGAGCTGGAGCCACATTCTTAAAAATCCACATTCAGGAAACCTCAATTATGTCTGAACATCCTGCTCTGGTTTGGTTTTAAGAATCCAGTCCAGTGTTTGAATTTTGTTCCACTACCCCTTCCCTCTAATCAAACAGCAATTAGGGGAGAGAACCTAAAAGGTATTTTTACTGAAGCTCTTGGACTTCCCTTATCATGATGAGCATCAATTGAGTTTATGGTGAGAAACCTGAATTGAGGAAGACAAAAAGGGGAACACGAGGGAGAAAGGGAACAGAATATTCCAGGATATTTCCTGTTTTATTTCTGGGTGGTTACAAGGGATGGGTTTATCTTGAGCACACCTAGATCTGCCCTAAGCTCAGGAATCAAAACCTGGGCAAATCTCACTGTAGCTCCTGACATTAATTGAGTCATTAATTGCCACCACCAGGCCTGACAGGCTCCTTGCCTGGAACAGACTTCAGTGAGAGAAAGCACTTTGCTTTCACAAAACTTACTGTCACAGCCAAATCCTTTTGGTTTGATTTGTAAATTAATAGAATTCTATAGATTCTCCCTAATTTCTCTGCTCTGTTTGGAAAAAAAAAATATATTGTGAGTTAAGAATAACCTCTAAAGGGCTGGTCAGCTTTAAATCTGAGGCAATTTTGTGTGTGAGCCAAGATAAAGAAACAGGATTTAGAGAACCCAAAGGCCAAATGTTTTTGCCACTCAGAACAGCCAGTGAATTCCCAGGAAGTGCTGAGGAGAGACAAATTGCTTCAGGGAGCAGGATTTGTGAATGTTTTGCTCCCTCTGATGGCATCTTGGAGCAATTCACAGCTGCTGCAGGGCTGTGCACCAGCAAGAGTTTAAAGATTTTAAACCTCTCTTTAACAAATCTGAGGACAAGGCAGACAGAAAACTATTAAATTAACCCAGCTGCCACCTCTCTTGGGGAATTTTGTTCCTTTTCCCTGAAAAATACACGGGAAAAGAGTGTATTCCAAAGGCCAGTGTGTATTTTGTCACTCACAGAATCCCTGTGAGGCCTCTGGGGTGTGTCCTTATCCTACTGACAATTTGATTTGGGATTATCTGGGTTAAACTGACACCTTGTAGAAGGAGGTGTTCCCATCCCAAAGGAGTTCCTGAAGTTGATATTTATCTGATTTCCTTAAAAGGAGGCATTAGCAGAGTTTTAAGCCTCACATTCATCTCTCCAGTGCAAGTTTGGAGTGACAAAAACATAGATCAGGATCTTTTTTGTTTTGTCACAGTGACTGAGCTCCACCTGCTTTATTGGTTATAAAAAGCTGTTTTACCTGGAATACAGCAGGGAATTCTTGGGGTAACCAAAGAGAACTGACTCACTGCTCTGTAGGTGGGGAGAAGCCCCAGATTCAGCCCTTTTCACCTTGTTTTTCCAGAGGAGAAGTGATGAATATCTGCAGTTTGACTACGTGGTTCTGCTGCACGAAATGGTGTCCCAGGTAAAAATTGGATTTCTAAAAAGCCTTTTTTGTTGTTGTTTGAAGCCTGGCAGCTCTGCAGCCTCCAGCTCAGGCACACAGATGGTGGGGTGGACACAGAGGGGGAGGTCAGGGCCACCTTCTCTGTCCATCCCAGCATTCCAGGACACAACAGCAGCAATTTCCAGCTGTTTCTGGGCTTTCCTGGGAATGGCTGGGGTTTCAAAACACTGGTGCTTCACAGCTCTTTCCTCCTGGGAGATCCCAGTGCCAAACTGGGCGGGGATCAAGGGAAGCAGCAGCATCCTGGAGTGCTCAGCAGAATTCCAGGGGGCTGGGAATGCTCCCATGCCAGAGGACAGCACTGGTGCCCAGCACAGAGACCTCACCCATCCCAGTTATCCCAGCACAAACTGGTTCCCAGCAGAGTATTCACACTTTGAGCCATTCCCCATCATAATTCTGTGATCTGAGCAAGTGTTTTCATAAGGAAAACACAGAAAACGTGAGAGAGAAGTTCCTGATTGTGCAACCTCCTGGAAAAACCACCCAGGGATCTCCCTCCCAGCTCCAGCTCTGCTGCTTCCAAGCCCCTGCACTCTCAAGTTTTAAATTAACAGAATTCTATGGATTTTCCCAGTTTTTCTATGTGTTTGGAGAAGATAGACTGTGAGTTAAGAGTAACTCCTAAGGTGATGTTCAGCTTTAAATTTAAACCAAGGTCAGCTTTAAATTCAAATTTAAACCAAGGTCAGTGTTAAATTCCAGCCAAGTTCACTCAGGGCACTTGCAGTGGGTTTGGTTCCTGAGTTTTCCACAAAGGGAAATTCCTGACTAACCAAGAGAATGGAAGCCCAGTTTGTTCCCTGCTGTCACTCCCACAGGAGATCATTCCCTGGGAGATGACAGTGCTGTGGCACCCTCGGGATGGTGTCCAAGTGACACGGGAGAGCCGCCAGCCCGGACACACCTCGGGATGAGGGACCCCCTGATCCCACCTGGAAGCAGCTCCAGAGCTCCAGCAGGCATTTGGAGGGGGGGCACAGGAGGGGAAGGGGTGGGGAAGCAACCAGGGTACAAAGACAATAAATTAAACTTCTCCTGTGCCTTGAGCTTGGATCTGATCTTTTCTTCCCTGCTGCTGAATCAAATGCTGCATCCAAAGAAATGACTAAAACAATTCCCAGAGGGAATACTCACGGCACAGGTGCAGAGATGTTCTCCCTGAAGGCAACTTTGGGCTTCCCCATGGTGCAAGGACAACCATATTCCCTCTCCATTCGCTGCAGGAAAGAACCCAGAGTTGTTCCATTAGAGCAATTCTTTGGAAATTATTGGATTAATTTAATCAGGGTTAACCAGGGGTTTTTCACGGATTTTGGGGGGGCTTTTTGTTGGGTTTTTTTTAATGTTATACATTGTTCACTGTCATTCTGCATCCAACTTTGCTTAAGATCTACAGAGGGAAAGGGAACAGCATTAATTTTTCTATTAAAGTTTAAGTTTTTCAAGACAAAAGCATCTTTTCTTTGTTCTGTCAACATTTCAGACACATCTCTTGTGTTAAGTAAAATACAGACATCAACTGGAATGAGACTAATCACTGTAAGTAACTATTCCCTTCTCCCTGCATCAGCTTTTATATGGAAGGATACATTTAAAACCACAGAAACACAGTATTTTTCTGTAGTAATTAATTATTATTAATTAGTAATTCATTATAAGCAAAGGCTGCTAAAGCAAAGTGTAGTGTTTAATCCATTTTTATGGATTTGAACTGAAGAAGTGAAAATATTCCAGGCAGAAGTTTCTTTTAAAATGGAACCACTGGAGAGAAAGAACCTGCAGATGTTGATTTATAGTTAAACTCTTCCCAAAGCAGCTGGAAAGAAGAAAGAGGAGGAGGAAAAGGAAGGAGAATCCGTGGCTGGAAAACCAGTGAAAAGCAGAGTCCATGGAATTTGCTTTCCCAAATACCTGGGCATAGATTTCCAGGTGCAGCTCCCCCATCCCAGAAACGATGGTCTCCTTGCTCTCATCATCAAAGTGGACTCTAAAAGTGGGATCTTCCCTCGTGAAGCGGTTCAGGCCTTTGGAAAACTTGTCAAAGTCGTTCTGAAATGCAATTAAACACACGAGATTTGCTCAAATTCCAGAAATTATCCACGAAAAAGGCCTCGACTTTTCCTATCAACTGCTGAGCACTTCTGCTCTCTGAGGTGATTTTCTGAAACACTTCTAACTGTGTTTATTAATGTATTAATTGTGATTTAATTTCAAGTTCAGGTCAAAGAAATGCTCCTTATTTATGGCTGAGTGACACCATCCAGCCCAGCCACGTGCTGGGTTATCCAGAGATATAATCTCAGGGATTGTGGATAAAACACTTTCAAACAGTGCTTGTTTTAGCCTGTTCCTTTATTTAAGCTGCATAAAATCCTAAAAAGTAGCAAAGGGAGGGGAAGCCAGGGGGAGATGTGGATCCCCAGGCTCCTACCTTGTTGGAAGGCTTCATGGCCACGGAAATGACGGGATCGGGGACGTGGATGGATTCCTGCAGTGGCCACCAAGGAAGAGGTGATGATTACAAACTGTCCCAGCAAAATCCTGGTAAATGCCAGTGCCTGAGGCCCTCAGGGAAAGGGGAACTCACCATGGAGATGGCAGTGCTGGTTTTATCAGTGAAGGTGTCCCCGCTGGCACAGTCAATCCCAAAAAGGGCACAGATGTCTCCAGCATAAACTTCACTGACATCCTGGGGAAAGAAAAGTTCCCTGTTTAGATAACACTGAGAGATAAGAGAGGCTGTGGCTGCCCCATCCCTGGGAGTGTCCAAGGCCAGGCTGGACAGGGCCTGGAGCAATCTGGGATCGTGGAAGGTGTCCCTGCCCATGGCAGGGGGTGGCACTGGATGGGCTTTGAGATCCTTCCAACCCAAACCATTCTGGGATTTCTCCTATGATTCTATAACCTACAAACTACACCTGGTTTACAGAAGACACATAAATATATTCTGTGTTTTAAAGCTTGACACTGAGCTCCTCTAAAATTCCAGCTGGGATAAAATGCTCTGTAAATCTTCCACCTCTTTATTCCAAGGACAAAAGGGAGAGCTCGGCTTGGATGCCAACTTGTTCTGGTTTAAGGATGTGAAGCAAACAATGTGCTGTGTTCCAGGCAGTCCTGGCCCACTGCAGGAATGTCAGACAGTGGCTCAGAGTCCATCCCTAGGGATCACTCACCTCCATGTTGTCCGAGTGCATCCGGACGAGCCTCTGCACTCGCACCCTCTTCCCAGTCCTGGTGTTGTAGATGTAATCAGACTTCTTCAGCATCCCCTGGTAAACTCTGATGTAGGTTAACTGCCCAAATTTACCAGCCTGGAAGCAAAATCCATGGAAAAATCACATATGATCCTTCTGGGAACCAAGAGCACTGTTACTGAAAGCATCACCTGCACTGACTGAATGTTTCTGGTTTGAATTTCCACACTAGAAACGTAACTGAAATGTTTTTATGAGTCTCAGCTTTCCCTCGGTTCTGGGATGGAATTTGGCATTTCCTGACAATTTTCTGAACTCATTTCATCACTCCCAAACCTTCCTAACAGAGACACACATTGACATGCAACATGAAATCTCAAGTGCTGTTCCTTAGGCAGAAACAAATTGTTTCCTTAAAATTGTGCATTTTATCCTCTCCAAATCTCTCCCGTTTCATTGTTTTCAAACCCAGGATTTTTCTCTGAAAGTATCTGAAATAACCCATAAACCCCCAAATGTTTAAGTTTTAACTAAGAAAACCATGAAATATTTGAGGGACATGACCCATTCTAAACTTCCAAATTGGCAGTGTTGGACACACTGGTGGGTTTTATGGTGGGAACCAGTATTTAAAGGTTAAGTTTAAACTGAATTTAAATATAAACTGATTTTAAAGCCTGCTCTATGTAACTTTGGCAGTCCCATCTGTTTGGATTCATTTTGTGAGTCGTCAGGAAGGAACTCAGTGGACTCACCTCCAGTTTGAAGGCAAGGCCGATGAAAGGTTGGGAATCATCACGAGCAGAGTTCAACAGGAACTTGGATCCATCCTCAGAATCCCTTAAAAACAGGGATGGAGGGGGAGGTGAGGTTATGAGGCAACATGGGAGCCTCCTCTAAACATCTGCTGGCTCTTTACTGGCTCTTATGTTGGGGTTCACACCTAATTGTTGGACTTCTCTCCCAGGGAACAAGGGACAGGACAAGAGGGAACGGCCTCAGGCTGTGCCAGGGGAGGGTCAGGTTGGACATCAGGAGGAATTTCTTCCTGGAAAGGGTGGTCAGGCACTGGAAGGGGCTGAAGGCTTGAAGGGCTGCCATCATTTCTGATGAACTGCCTCATAATCATTTTCCACATTTAATGTGCTAATAACACCAGTATAAAGGGTAACCCTCAGAGGAAAGGAGCTCTCTTAGTTTTGGGAGTTTGTGTCAAATTCTGGTGCCATTATTTAATACAAATGGTAAATGATCCTGCATCTTGTTTTTGATGTTTCCTGCTATGTATTAAACAGCTTTGAAACTATTCCATAGGATCATGGAATGGTTTGGGTTGGAAAGGACCTTGAAGGCCTCCTAGTCCTATCCCCTGCCAGGGGCAGGGACACCTTCCACTCATCCAGGTTGCTCCAAGCCCCGTCCAGCCTGGCCTTGGACACTCTTGTTTGCTCCTGGCTGTCCTTACCCCTGGTTCAGAATAGCATAGTTCTCCACCTCAGAGGGATTGGGAAGGTATTCCAGGACAGCATCCAGCAGTGGCTGCACCCCTTTGTTCTTCAAAGCACTTCCCACGAGGACTGGGGTAAAGGACTTCTTCAGCGTCGCTCTTCTGATGGCGAGCTGGAAAACAGCCCTGGTAACTCTCCCCCTGCACCTTCAGGAGCCTGAGATTCCCTGGCTTCCCTGGGCATCTCCACTCCTGGAGCAAGGAGCTGCACCCCTCTGGAGGTACCTTTAACTCAGCAGCCGTGGGAATCTTCTCTTCCAAGAACATCTCCCCGAGCTGATCGTCGGCGTTGGCGACGCACTCGATGAGCTCCCGGCGCCGCTCGGCAGCCTCCGCCCGCAGCTCGGCTGGGACCTCCTCAACACGAAGGGTCTGCCTGCACACACAGGGACAAACCATCACCCACAGGGCATGGACCACGTGGGTCAACCTTTCCATCACTGCCATGAGCAGCCTGACCAAGAAAAACTCACTGTTGACACGGATAACGGGAAAAATCCCCTACGAGGATCGGCTTTGGCGCTTTGGCAGGAGAAGGTTCCTTCCCACTCCTGGCAGGAGTTTGAAGGATGCAGGACAACCTGTCCAACAGCCCCACCCACATCTTATCTTCATCCCAGAAGCCACACATGCACTGTCAGATCCCGTTATGGAGCAAGTCTCCCTGTTTCTCAGGGTGGGAAGTGTGGCCACCACCCCTTCCCACCACCCAGCTCCTGCTGCAGCCACCCATCCCATCCCAGAGCTCACCTGCAGGGCCAGGGGATGGGAATGCCAGAGGCTGAGCTCAGCCCTGGCACAAGCCCCACCCTGATATTCCCAGAGAGCAGGGTTTCACCTCTGCAGGAGGAGCTCCTCGTGCAAAGAGCAGCTCCAGCCAAGAAAGGAGCAAGTTCCACAACTCACCCAAGTGCCCCATCAAAATAAATGGCTTTTTCTTCAATAAGATCTATAATTCCTTTAAAGTCTCCCTCCAGCCCAATTGGAATCTGGACAAAAGCTGCATTGTGTTTCAGCTTGGACCTGAAAGAGGGAGAAAACAGAAATGAGTTCAAGAAAAGTGTTGTTTCTGTGGGTCTCCTCCAGGTGGTCTTGAAACAACCTCTCGCTCCCACAAAATCCCTGGATTTCATCCTTTGGGCAGTGCCAAAAATCTGTCAGTGCTGATAAAAACCACCCAGGTGTTTTCCAGGGTGGCCCAGCCCTCTGTATCCCAACAGGAACAGGGAGCAACTCCCCTGGGAAAGAAGGCAGAGGAGACTCGTTTGAGATTGATTATTTGATTAGGGGAGAGGCTTCTCCCTTCATGCATATTAATGAGTTATCTCACAGATCAAATTAGGAGCAAGCAGGATTCCAGGCATCCAAACCACCCCATCACCTCCCTGCTGGAATTCCAGCAGCACATGTGCTACCAGGATCCAGGGAAAACCAAAAGGCTGCTTTCCAGGTGGCTCCACATATAATTCCATCAACAAAGTAAATATCAAACCCCAGCTCTTGGTCACTCCAAGTCTTGGCTGACCCCAATATTTGGGGTTTTTGGAGACTTATGGGTCAGATGAAGATCTGACTCCAAGTCAGGCATTCCCCAAACCGAAGGTACAAAGAGAACCCTCTCCAACATTCTTCACCTGCCATGGGAGTATTCAGAATTAATTCCCAAGTCATTTTAACTGGTAAATACCTGAGTTGCTGCACGGCCCTGGCTGGGTTGGAGCCCATCCTGTCCAGTTTGTTGATGAAGGTCAGGAAGGGCA